TGGGGGGGGGGGTTCTATTCATGATTCCGTAAACACCCTAAGAAGTCTAACAATAAAAGCCCACTGTTCCATAGGTTATGCAGAGATAAAGTCAGAATTTCAATATATGTCTACAAAAATTTCTTTCATTTACAGGTATTTTGCACAGATTTTTAGCATTCACTACAGAACATTTGAGTGTTAGCCCTTCCTGAAGACAGGGAAGGGCAAACCCAGTGAAGTTCAAGTTTGGATGCTAACCCAGCAGCATGGTAAATCCTAATCTTAACTTGAATTCCTCCCTGCACTCCAGGACTTGGGATCCCAGAGCACAGTGATCCTCTGACCCAGCAGGCACAAGCATGATGACACTTGCCTCATTTCACTGTGTCGCTGAATTGGAACTTGCAAGAATTTGGGTTCAGGAATTCAGCTGATAAAGGTGGGTTCAGATTCCCACCTGAACCATATTCTCAGCCTTTTCCTGTGGCTTCAAAAGGGATCTTTAAAGGAAATTACTGGAGCTGCAGCATCTGGTGCTGTGACCATTTTTGCATTTTTGACAGAGTGTCCTTCAACATTAAGAGTGCTTTTTTTTTTTTCTCCCAGCTGCAAATGGTGTTTGGGTTTTCTTAAAACAGCACTTGAACATTTCGCTTTTCAGTTTCCAGCCATGTTACAGAACTAAGGATAATCAGTTAGGTAAAGTAAGTTCCTAAGACTCTCTTTTCTAGTGACCGCAATGCAAACTGATTGACATGGCATGCTGTTAAAGGGGCAGTGCTACTACTTTTGCAATCTCCCTTTTAGCACAAAAGACTGTAGCACAGATTGAGTTATGATTCAGCAGTCAACTGAATGATGAGCAACTGAAACATCACCTTGGGATAAGCAAATTATTTATGAATCAAGCAAGAATTACCTTCTTGCAACAGCATAGTTATAATGTATTATAATGGTAGTTATACAATGCAATTTTAAATTTACATTTCACATATTTTTAATTGAGTAGATTTATTAATTCATCATTAAATTAAGGTCTCAAATGGAGCACTTGCAAAAAAAAGCTTTGAGTAATATCTACTAATCCTCCAACACAAGAAGGTAAAGTAACTTAAAAAAATGCTAGTTTATTGTTTTCTTCAATTTGGATAAATATTTTGCTTTTAAGAAAATAAATGCAATAGGACAAGCAGCTTAACTGTTAGCTATCTGAAAGGAATACAAAGAAGACAGAGAATTCGATGTTCCTGGATAACAACAGCATCAAAATGATGTTAAGTACTTTCCAGGATTCATTCAACAGACTAGATCTGGAACCCAAGTTAAGTAGCTTAATAAATACATTTGAAGTCAGATCCCTGAAATCTCTTTGAGAGAGAGTGGGTGTCTAAAGGCACCCACAGTATATGAGTCCGTAAAGTGAGCATCACGCTGTTCAACAAATTTGCAGAGATGTTGTTACACTGTCACTCTGCTTTCTGCTGAAGAGTAGTGGGTAGTAAATAAATTCTTTTCCTACCTGGATCTATTGGGTGGACTGTAAAATGCAAATATGCTTCTTATTTGCAAGAGGAGTGAATAATGTTAGGCACGTGTAAGTAAATACAAATCTTAACCAATAATTGGCAGTTCCATATACAAATAATAAAGCTATGAGATAAAGCGATTTTCCTTTACAAGGAACTTCTGTGGCTATATATATCCCCCTCTAAAACAGTAATCTCCGGAGCGGCCATGAGCACAGCATGCTGTACTCCTTCCTCTCTCCCTGTGGCTACCCTACAAGCAGCCTGCAGGAGCCTGCAGCCATGTAGTCAGCTTGGGGCAGGAAGCATCCTCACAGTGCACCGTGCCAATCCCTGCATCTGCACTGGGAATTCAAAGCCCCAGAGCCTGGCCTCAAGTCATG